GCTCTAGGGAAGGTTTAGTACCATTGGAGGCGCGGCTTTCACCGAAATCTTTGGACATGATGAATTTCGTTGGATTCAAGAGTTCTACGAATTAGTGAATGTCAAGATGTTTTTTATATACTCGAGAAGGTTACTTGTAATGGCAGCGTATATAGTACTGCAGAACTAGATGTTGTATGACGTAACCTGGACCCACACTCGGTATGGCACAGGATGCACACTAGTATCACGGCGGTATGCAAGGAGTTACCGGACATAGCTATCCGGCAGTTGTCATGAAAGAAACGCGTTGTATGAATGTGAAATGAAATCCGTGAATTAGTTAAGTCTATACCCCATGCGCTTACTTACTCAACGCTAATATCCTCTCAACAGCCCTCTCTGCCGCGATCATGACTCCCATGACAGGGTTCGTGGTCAGAGGCGGCACGATACTTGCATCGATGACGAACAAGTTCTGCATCCCGATGACCTTTGTATCCGTGTCAATGCAGGCCTCCATCCTGCAACTGCTGCTCCAATGTTGCACGTTGCCAAGTGTGAACGCGCTTGGCGTGGTCAAATAAGTCGCAATTTGCTCGATAGTCGAGTTCTTTGCAACGTTGAGCGGGTTGAGGGTAGCTGGCAGGGCTTGGAAGATGTTGTAGACGAATGTCGCAATAGCGGTCGCATCGCGGGGGTCGGCGTAGAAGTTCGATGAGGGAAGAGCGATACCTCTGGCATCAAGGTTTACGCGACCGACAGATCGGAGACCAGAAGTGCCGTATACATTAAGTGTGATAGTTCCGTTCTTTGTGAGGCCCATTGCTCCAGCAGAGTCAATGGTACCCTGGCAGCCCACTACATCGTCGCCTTGCTGGATGTAGTCCCAAAATGCGCTTGTTTGCGAAGCGAATGTGTAAGGTCCAGAGCGCTCGTTGACGTACAGGTCGACATCGGATTGAGGCGGGTTGGAGTAATCGTAAGCATACGAGGCAATCTCGTCAGATTGGAGCTCGATGAAGGTGTTTGGGTTATCGAAGACACCGTTGCCGACAGCGGTGTTGTTGATCCAGTCCTGAGAAGGAACAGTGACATGACCGTTCTTCGAGAGGTTTGTCAAGGTCGCTGCCTCACCGATTCCAGACCACATCAACAGTTGAGGGCTGAGGAGAGCACCGGCTGAAGAGATAACCATGCCGCCTTCTTTTATGCAGATGCTGGAAGTGTTCTCTGCTCCGTTGGTCTGAACGTCGACGCCAGTCGCTACGCCACCATCGCGACGAACACGCAAGACTTTAGTGCCGGTTTGGAAGGCAAAGTTCGAGCGAGCCAGGGCCGATTGTAGGTATGTTTTGACTGGACCACTCCTTTGCCCGTTCTCGTAGTACCAGATTGGGTGACCAAAAACCTTAGTCTTGTTGTGGTTCTCAATGCCATCGTTCAGGCCAACCTCTGCGAAACCCGCGCCATCAACGAGCCACTGCTTCGCAGCATCGTAACCGCTCTGCAGATACCTCTTTCCGTCTCTTGAAGGGCTGTCTGTGTTTGGCTGTTTCGCTCGGACCTTGTTGATTGCGCATTGCATGTCGTCATTTTTCCAGCCCTGGGGAAAGTAGCGATCCCAATCGCTCGCGGGTGGCTGGAAGAACAGTCCAGCGTTGATGGCGGAGTTACCACCGACGGTGCATCCTTGAAACGCGTTGACGACATCAGACGCGCATGTCAAGTTTCCTTCACCGGAATTCGAGAAGATGGACTTGTACAGCCCGGGAACGTCAACGCGGCTGAGTTCAGTTCCGTTTAGCCATTCCGGGCGAGCACGACCGCCGGTCACGTAGTACGACGGGCCGCCTTGCTCTAGAAGTAGGGTCTTCTTGCCGGCTTCGCTCATGCGGTCCGCTGTAACGATACCCGCTGGACCAGAACCTGGAGGACGTCAATTTTGGTGCCAGATGTTGGATGCATGTTTGAGCTTACCAACGACAATGACATCCCATTCACCACCAGCGCATTGCTCTGCCGCAGCATAGCTCGCGAACGCAGCGACCGGTAACAGGACCTTCAACATATGAGCTGCTACCATGATGCCTTCTCTTTGATTTCGGAGGTGATGTTTGTCCTATGTTGCGAGGCTATACCTCCTGCCGTGACAAGGCCGAAGGCTGACTTTAAGCATCTCATCTCACCCTCAGCTCCTAGCAAGTACGCTTACCCTAGCCTCGAGCTCTAAAGCACGGTGATGTACAAGTACCACCATGCTAAGCAAATTTGCAGCGTGAAGCTGGAGCCGACATCACCGAACACGAAGAGGTATGACGCCGTTTACGGGGTGGAGCGTGCGCAGGTCTAAACCATCGCCCAGATGCGGGCGCTTAACCTCTTCGTATGCGCTATGAGCGCATAGATCTCGCGCCGGTCGATGGCCGTAGAAGCTTAAGAATCATCGCTCCGACGGATTGGGTGCGTGGTGGTCGTTGCGTGGTTATTTTGGGACGTGTGGGCGAGCTGAAGGTGTGGCGAGGGCTGCACCGTGAGGGGTCCGGCCTGTCAGGAAGAAGCCCAACGTTACAGTAGCGGAAGGTGCGGCTGAGTCTGCAACTTTGCGTCAGTCATCCAGCTTCTGACTCCAGTATTTCCTTCTTTCGACTCTTCTGTAACTCGCATCGCAGACGACGAAATCGCGTGAGAAAGCTTGGGAAGCTTGTCGCATGCAAACTGCCCGCTCGGGCCGCTCGGAAGGATTGATTGTGGGACCTTCGTACGGGGCAAAGCTACCCGGCGAAACGTTGACATGCACACGGTGAGGTATCGCAAAACTTACGGTGTCATCGCAGGATCTCGACTTAGTCATTAACATGTTTAGTCACCGTGAAGTCATGCGACGCACGGTTTTGTGCGAGCAACGACGCGCCAGCGATTGAGATATGCGATCGTCTCGCAGCAACCATGGCGCTGTGTGGACCGAATGTTGTGATCTTCAGATATCGTTGTTTACGACAGGACCTCACAATCGACTACCGGGCGATGGACACAGCAGCCAGAATACCTGCCTTCACGAAAAGAGCCACTCTCATATGCGATCTCGAAGATGACTTAGGCTCAGTGGATGCACACGAAGTCAACCTTGAGCGCGATGAGTATGTCAAACGAACAGTCAAGATGGTGGACTTGCTATAAGAGTCATGTTTGGAATATCATACAAGTCGCGTCGAGGAAGTTCACCCATTAACTACATACTTCTGTCGAAGCATACCCACGAAAGAACCGAATTTCACCATTAACAGCGTCGAGGATACCTTGGAGTTACAAGTCGCCGAAGATATGACCCCACGAGCCCAAAGCAGCACAGCCGGGCCAAGCAATTTTGGCTTCAAAATTAAGCCATCGGGACTGGAGAAACAGTATCAATTTAAAGTGAAAACACTACGAGGTAGACGCATACCAGCTATTGAGTTAAGCAATTGACTGATACGCAGTAGAACTTCTTATAGAATTTGAGCTGAGAGACATAAATCATACTGTGCAAGTCACACCTGACGATTCCGGAACTTATTACGGCGATGTGATCGACAAGAATCGTCAGACATTTTTGAAAAGTGGGGAGGTCTCTTCTAGGTCCGAAGCTGGAGCTCTGGAGAAGTTAGTCGACGCCGTCAGAAACGAAATCACCGTCAAGAAAATCAACAAAACCAAGAAGAAGGTCCATAAACTTCAGGGTGACTTCTCCACAGAATGGCACGTTCACCTCGCAATGGAAGTTGGAGAAGATGCTGCGGGTTGGTGGGCAAATAACACATTCCTAAAGGACGACGAGCCATGCACACTTGTCCTAGCGGAAAATCTACCTTCTGAGCTTGCGGCGCACAAGTATCTGTTGGAATGGATCAGATCTCCCAGGGCGGTGGAGGACACGATATCATCATCGCCATCCCACGGTACTGCGATGACCCAGAGGCGACCCAGAGACGACGAGCCAACCACACCTCCCGCATTCCATACGACTCATACGCGAGGAGATACTCTGGAGCACACGATAGGAAGTCGGCCCAAGGTGAAAAAAGCTACCCACATTGTCATTACATTCACGTAAATAAATCTAAGTCTCATTCGACGACGACATGCTATTATGATGCAGAGACGAGAGCACTCACTCTTGAGGAACGTGTAGCCCTTATAATTCGATCTCACTCTCACCTCTTGCCCAATCTCACTTGCTCATTTCTTTCTATATCGAAACATTCCTGTAATCTCCAACCGCGCTGCATGGAAGTCCTGATACACTACCACCACGATTCCACTTCCGACGCTGAGATTCAAACCCGCTGTCCAACGTGCGAGCGTTCCTCAAAAGCTCACTGTTTTCGATGAGGTCCTGAGTAGCACATGTCTGACAAGTGGATAATATGGTGATGATGCTATCAAGGGCTAGGCGATCGCGAAAGGCACTGAGATTACTATACAAGGCAGTGTCTGTTCGATTCATTTCTAAATATTTGGTGGATCTAGTCGATCAGGAGCCATATGAAGTGTGTATACGGTGTGCGCTCTTGGCCGCGTGAGTGTTGCTTACGCACGACGCATCTATTGCGGATGGCAAGATACCATCGAGCACTAATGATGATCGCAGCGAGGTCTCAGTGACGACGTGCTCGGCTTTAACCAAGTAGCAGAAGTCACCGCCTCTGAGTCATGTACTTCATGTTACACAAATTGCGGACTCACCAAAAAGACCTCCTTCCCTGCGTCTATCTGAATTGTATACTCATATCGACAGTGATGGCTGCGTCGAGTCTTTGAAAGCAAAAAAACTGACCTGGAGTCACCTATGAATCAACCATATGACTATGAACGGCTTTCGGTGCACATATGGGGAGTCACTACCAGCGACAGCTCTTGAGAAGAGTCAGTGTCAGTATAAAATGCGGAAATGGACTGCTCCAAATCTTCTGCTTTAGCACCAAAGACTGACTATACAACGAGGCTAATACGAAACACCTGCTGCCAGCCATCGCGTCGCAATGCCAGAGAGCGGCAACAGACTCGTCGTGAGCGTGATCACGGACAAGGAAGATGTCTCGAGCTCCAGTGCTCCCAACACAAAAGCACGCAGAGAAAAGGCACCCGCCGTTGCGATCAAGACACCAGAACTCGAAAGTCCCCCGGTGGAACTCCCGCAAGCGCCTGAGACACAAGAGTCAGTCTCCTCCACTGAAGTACACATCGAGGAAATCGTGAAGCAAGTCAACGAGTGCAGGATCAAGAACGCGCACAAATTAGGAATACCCACAGAGAGCGTGAAAACGGAACAAATACCTTCCAATAGCGGGGCGTGGATGGTACGCTTCATTAATGAAACTGGAAGCGTACCGACGCTTGAAGATGACTTAGAGAAGCTGAGAGAACGTGAGTGCTGTCGAAGAAAAAGTTATCACAACTGCTGATCTCTCACTTAGTTGTGGATTGGGTGTGGTCCCCGAAAAACGGCTATCGCGCAGAGATTGTCCTGCTCAGACACCATAAGCGCGACAATTTTATCGCCATTGTTCGAGATGATCGTGACAACTCGAACCTTCTCAGAGTCGAAAGGAGCTATCGTGAGACTCCGGAGAAAGCGCTTGCACGTCTTCCTAGTGAGATTGGGTCCAAATATCCTGGCACAGGTGTGTTGCCGTCTCTCCCTCAGAGATACAAGGATATAGTATATTATACGAGAGTGTTACAAAGAGAGAAAATTCTGAGTGTGTGTTCACGGTCCGTCATGAGAGTGTACATTGACCACTATACAGATGAATGTCTAAAATGGAAGAGGCGCCACTATGATATAAGTATTGAGCCGGACCGAGAGTCATTGCGGCCGTACCGAGGAAGGGTGAGGCAGTTGAACACAGACACTCACTTTGTGAAGGGTAGCTGGTGGGAATTTAAAGAAGAGGCTTACGAGGATCTGTTGAAAAAAGTCCAGGCGTTCGTGAAGAAGCAGCTGGATGATCAGAGAAGTCGTCCTTCGTAGGTTCGACAAAGGATGGGAGTTTGACATGACAGCTTCGCGCCAATCAATACTGGAGGATACAGGATAGAAATTGGAAGCGAATGTATTTCTCAAACTTGTCACCCATTTCATTCCCTCACTTTCATGTACGAGTCTTTGTACAATATTCAGCATTGGGCTGCAAGAGAGGTGATTAGCCCCAAGCTTACACAAGTAGGATATCTGTGTCCCTTTTCAGAAGCCCGGTGCGACGGCGCGACCACGGTCACAAGTGCCTCCGCATACCCTAATGAGATTTCCCAAGTCCGGACGGCTGAGATCATACCGAAGGGAGAAAAGGAGTCAGAGAAAGAGGCCGTGGACAAGGCAAGCAACAGCTACGCATGCATCATGTCTTCATGGACATCTACGTTGTGATGCTAAGTCCGAACTAGGCATGTTCCCTTCTCCTCCACAAGCGTCAACGAGGCGAAGACACGGACGCCCAGCTGGACGAGCTGCGAGCCAGGAGTGCGCAACAGAAACAGAAAAACACGAAACTTCGTGGTGAAGTGTAGGAGTTCGAGTTCGACAGTCCCGTTGTGAAGATCAAGGTCCGTGACGATGTCATCATGGTACAAAGCAATGGGATGTAACCTGTTATTCGATTACTTACAAATAGTCGCTTATCCATACCAACTTGATTAGCCCATAAGCTGCAACTGATCTGTCGGCGGCCACCTCGTCTGCGCAAAGCTCAAACACCGCTTGATACTCTGCAGGTACTTCCGCGTCATCTCGTCACTCATAATATGCGCCGCATTCTTATCGCTCTCATGCAGCTTTTCCCGCGCACTTCTCTCGTGAATACCCACCATGGTAACACCAATGGGCCACGCCGCCTTGCCGATACTAAGACGCAGATAACCATCGTTCGCGTCGACATATCTTCGCTCCTGCGCAGCGTGCACAATCTCGACAACGGGCTCGACGATACTGTCTGGCAGATCGAACTTCTCCAACTTCTTGAACAGTGGTCGCATGTTCTCGCGCGCTTGTACCATGGCGGCGTAGGCTTGTTTTCCTTGGTAGCTCTCTTTGACTTCGGGGTCTCGACGTAGGAGTGTGAGGTCCCATTCTTTCAGCACCATGGTGAAGTAGCTCGCCAACTGTCTGAAGAGGAACTCGCGACCCTCCTTGTCCTTGGGTACCTGGGAGCTGACCTTCATGTCCTTCTCCGGTACGAGTTGTAGTGTTGTGGGTATCGGACCGTCCGTCATGATGGCTGCTAAGCTATCTGCGCCGACGCGCTTCTTGTATCGTTTCAGGCGTTGTTTGTGTGTCTCGCCGAATAGCCGCGCTGGCTCATCGAGGGCTCTTAGCTTTGCGACGAGCTCTTCGTCTTCGATATCTTCGTCTTCAGGGACTGGTGTGCCGTCTCCTTCACCGTCCTTCTTCTTAGATGGGAGATCGGGGAGACCTAGCCGCTTTCGGCGCTGTCTCTCTTCTGCCTCTTCCTCTTCTTCCCTTATGCGTCTTGATTCCTCGGCCATGCGCATGCGCTTTTCCCGGCGCTCGGCTTCCCTCTCGGCTTCATCTTCTTCGGCTTTGCGCTTCTTCTCGTGACGTTCTCGCCGTGCCTTCTCCGCGGCTTCTTGTTCGGCGACGTATGCGGCTTGCCGTTGTGCTTCGATTTCGCTGCGCTTCAGGTACTTTTTCTCGGTCGGTTCGGCTGGTGAGGCTGTGTCTTTGCCCTTTTTGATATGTGCGGACATCAACTTTGCGAAATCCATGTTGGCGACCGCGATGTTCGGGATATAGAGTGAGTCAAGGTGTCGAGGATGAGTCAGTGTTGGTTGCGACCTGGAAACTCACCTGCAATGGAAGGTACGTGCCGAGGAAGACGCTAGTGGGAGCTCTCCGCGTCCCGGTCGCGTTCCTTCCTCCCCAAACTCTCCAAACACATTCACATCTTGCGCCTGACGTCACCTCCTCACGACTTTCCTAGCCAGCTGTCTCTACGTGCCTGCGAATCTCTAAGAATCTTAATACATTGACTAGCCTGATTGTCCACAAGGCTGCAGACCTCACAATGGCTGCTCCCGCGAAGATTGACCGTCAAACAACGACGCCCTTCCTGTTGCGCCTCTTCTTTAAGCAAAACTCCTTCCATAGGTGCGTATTTCTCATACTCTCACAATTGTACAAAGCGAATACAGTACTAATAGCTCATAGGCTTGACGAGTTCGACCCAACGCTACCACGTCTCCCAACCAACGTCCAAATCTACACATGGCAGAGCTGTAGTCTGCGAGAGCTATGCACACTACTTCTGAGCGCAGTACCAACATTACTACCGCAACCGTACGCTGGATCGCGCATCGCATTTCGACTCGTATACCCAGACATACAAGGCTCCAACCGACCAGGCGCGCCAGGGCGATTCATATCGCGCGACATAGGCTCCGTCATTGTAGGCGCGCGCCCAAGGGATGAGGACATTGATATGGACGGCGTGGAGGGAGGAAGTGTCACAGAAGCTCTGAAGCAACTTGACGGCGACGCAGACAAGACACTGGGGGATGTCAGATTTATGATAGGCGACTATGTGGCATGCGCTATACTTCCACCGCTACCCGATGGCAGTGTACCGGCCGCACCTCCGCCACTATCTGGACCGGGTAGAGGACCGCCTTCAGGACCATACGGCGGTCGGCCGCGCGAGAACGGCTTCGGTGGCCGGGGAGACTATGGCGGCTTCGGCAGAGGTGGTAGGGGAGGTGGAAGCAGATTCGACGATCGAAGATTGAGTGGAGGAGGCGTACCGTTTGGTGAATGGCGGAGAGGCGAAGCGCCACCAGATCGAGAGCTAGGCTTTGGAAGAGGGGGCAGAGGCGGACGAGGAGGTGGAGATGACTGGCGTGACCGAGGAAGAGGCCGGGGACGATGGTAGGACAAACCTCTGACTGCGAAGTCATGACGCTATTGTTGCGACTCAGGCGCGGCATAAGCCATGATGGCGCCCAAGCAAGCAGCTTTACGAAACACCAAGTCACCATTTGAAGCCGGTGAGTCACTATGACCGCTCGTAGGATGAGTTAACATTGTGGTTGACGGATACATCGTAGCACCACCCAGTCTATCGAGTCGCTATCAAGCTTCGAATTCGTCTCCATGCTTCAGCAACGTGCGATATCCCTTCCCTTCGCCTCCTTGTCGCCGTAGAGTCTACCACACGAACTCGCCTTCCCAAAGTCTTTGCTCGTTGTAGCCACAAACTCCACAGTGTAACGTCACTGTTTGGAAGACTTCTCGGCTTCGATTTTCTCCAACAGGTTTTCGTAGGCGGTCACTACGTCTAGCGCAGCTGTACCTTTCTTGAATGGCTGCCTCGCGCCTGGAAGACGGGCTATAGCGATTTCCTGGCCGTCGACTTCCACAGTCGAGACCTCGCATTTCTGACTGTACTTAGGCGAATACTTGCGGACAAGATCTCCAGACGTGTACGTCAATACCAGTTCGACATAGCGGCCATCAAACTCACCCTGAATTTCCTTCTTCAATCGCTCTACCTCTGCCTCCTCCTTCACGCTCAATGTGAGGTCCTCACCGATAGCGGGCTGCTCGTTGCACTTCGGTGTTTCGGATTCTTCCGAGGGCATATGCAGTATCTGGAAACGGGTATATTGGTAATAAAGAATACATGGTAGCGCGCGCAGTGGTTTTGATCATGGTGGTGAGTCTTTTGGTATGAATGTGTGTATGTGACTGCGCGGAAGTGACATTGCGTGGAAGTGACTATGACTGACTCTCGTCACTGTAGCGTGGAGGATGTTGACGAACATACGAACAATCTACATGAGCTATCACAGGATCCAACAGCATACATGTCTTCAAAAGCCTGTTGAGGTGTGATCTCAAGTTAAGCTAGAAGTATACGAACGAGTCGGAGGTGATGATGTCGCCTTGCTCAAAGTTCATGTAGGCTCAAACTGCCTGACTTCCGGAGTTTCTCTTTGACATTTTGAACGTTGTATTCCTATGTATCAGACTCGGTACTCTCTTCTCGGTTTCGTGCGTGAATGTACGTGTCTATGCGCGTGGTGTAGATATATGGTAGTAGCGACTGGATGTGTAGTGGGTCCCGTCCCATTCTGGTTAGTGCCATCTCATCCAATGAAAGCGGGGCCCCTCGTATGTTGCGAAGGACACAATCCCACAACCATCCACGCGCCTCTCGCATGTCCATGGTGCGCGAGGTGACATGCAGACTAACGATATGACGCATACATTCCGTTATCAGGCGCTGGATCATGACCTTTCACAGATACGAGTCTTCAGTCTGTTTCCAGCATCCGATCACCATGCGCCATTGCGAGGCAGGCTCCACACCGAACAGTTCTCGCCAACTCCGCCGGTTTACGAAGCCATTTCTTACGTTTGGGCGGAGAGGCCAGGAGAGGAATTGCTCGAGGTGAACGATAACGAATTGGTGATAACCTACAACCTTGCTTCCGTTCTGAGACGCGTACGATACACAGATCGGATACGTGATTTGTGGATAGATGCGGTGTGCATCGACCAAAGCAGTCCGAAAGAGAAGTCTCAGCAGGTCCGAAAGATGCATCAAATCTATTCATCGGCTTTTAGGGTGCTAATCTGGCTGGGTACAAAGGTGCTCTCGAAATCGATGGATTGCAATTATCAGAGACTGTGGATGAGTGACGAAGCATCGGATAGAAAAATAAATCACGTCGTGGACTATCTAGAACGCTTGCAACACCAGGGCTTTGAGGGTATTGAGAATGAAGAGTTGGAATTTAAAGTTAAAACGGAACTCTTATTCGGCTGCAAGTGGTGGGAGCGTGTCTGGACCATTCAAGAAGGTGTCGTAGCCAACGAACACTCGCTCCTGCTTTGGGGATCTCGGGAGATCTCATGGGCATGTCTTTTCAACCTAGTGGAACGTGTGAACTTGATCTATCAGGTTCGTAACTCCGATAAACTTTGGGAACATCCAGCTTCAGAGTTTGTGCGGGTCTATCGGCATTACCATAACTCTGGGACAATACCCCTGGAGGATCTTATATACGCTTCATACGGGAGATCTGCATCCGACCCTCGAGATCTCGTATACGCTCTTCTTGGTCTCGTAAAGAGACAGACTCTTGAAACTTTTGCTCCTGATTATACGCAAAGATCTACGTGGGCATTCCAGAGAGCCGTCGTCAGCGTTATCGAAGAACGGCAAGACCTCGAGTTCTTGTTGAACATTGTGCTGCGGCGATCGGAAGTGAATTGGACTGAAAAGCCTTCTTGGGCCCACGATTTCACGGAGAGTACACTCCTGTTGTCCACCCGCCTCAAGGACTACCTGTTTGACCGCTACGGCCTAGTGCACGAAGGTGCAAGCACTGGACGAAGTTTTTCTGGCGTTCAACACGACGCGCAGGCGGGTACTATCAAGATCACTGGCGCCATCGTTGGACCGGTCGCAGAATCCCAGACGATTTTTACCGATTGCTACAGCGAATTGGCCGAGGATAAGAACAATGGCATGTATTATGTTCTCTACCTCCGCCAGCACCTGAATGCATTCGTGCCATGGCTTTTACAGACACTACAAGACTTTACTTGTATCGCTCGAAGAGCATGGAGTAAACGCTTCTCACCCGGCGAGGTCAACGCGAAGGTAGATAGAGGGGACGTTTGGCGTATTGTTGTAGATGGACAAAGCATGGACGAATTGAAGCTGGGCGTCACGGATCCGAAACCCGAAGCTGTCATGGATGAATGGGCAGTCCTCCAGCGCTATTCAGCGCTCGATACCTGGCGACATATGCTTTCTCAGGAAAAGAGAGGTTTGGCCGTGGATCCAGAATCCAGCATTGCGAAGTCATTATATCGCCACATCGTAGCCATTTTTAGTACATACACACACTGGAAAGGGTGCCTTTTCACGACGACAAGCGGTTATGTTGCATCTGCGGGTATGAGAGTTCAAAGCGGTGATGTAGTGTGTATCCTCTTTGGATGTCTCCTACCACTGGTTTTGAGACCACAGGACGATGGAACGTACATCATCGTCGATGCTGCTTACGTGGAAGGAGTAATGGAGGGGGAGTTTCTCCAAGACAGATCAAGCTACACAGATACAGAGTTCGTCATCAGTTGAGTAGCTCTAGTGAAAGCTGTGGCATTCCTAGAATCTGTCTTGAGGTTTATGCCTGACACTCGGGAAGTTACCGTTGCTTGGTGTATCTCCCAACTTTTCGTAGCGTCAAGTTCTCTATATCGCGTAGCCAAAGTGCCATCGCGGCTGAGCGAAGGACAACATGGGTCTCCCCCGAATCGTGAACGCAGCGAATCATCGCAACATTGATGCGCCCGAATCTATCATTCGATTACAGCACAACTCTCATGCCGGAAAGCGGCACATAACAGATCACACCGATGACTGAACTACCCGTCGGCACGCGAACGTCCTTCAGCATCCAAGAACCGTCTCCCAGCTCATGGTCATTTCCACCTCCATCAACATCATCTTAACGTATTGTATCACAATAGTCGTCATGCGGTGGTAATAATAGCACTGTTGGCGTGCTGCAAGCTGAGGTGGTGTGTTGGACCTTACGATTGAGGACGAGGAGGTGTGGAGGCGAAGCAGGCGGTGTCGCATGCACGCCCGCCCATACACACATGAGCCATCCATTGCGGCAACAAGGGACAGTTCACGTCATCGCACCTCCATCAAAACTGTTGGTTCTATTGTTAAGCTCCAATTCACAGCTTAGCAGACATCATTGTTCTAGAAGGCTGGAAACTTGGAGTCGCACAGTCCACTTCCTAGCGTTGATAAGCTGGAAGGTCTGGAAGACCACACGGCTGAATCGACCACTACGACTGGCAGCCACTACCGGCATTCCTCCACCAACTCTGCTCGGGCCGCTGAACGGTCGACTGCCCGCCTGCATGCGTAGCATGGAACGTCTTTGCAAACGTCTGCGCAAGGGCTTTGTCCTTTCGTCAGTGATGCGTCTATCGACCGCTTTCCTGTAAGCGAGGAGATGTTGATCAGGCGATCCGTACTACACGCTAGAGGGGAAGGAAGAGCGCAGGATCGTTACCTCGTTGAGGGGTAGACGCCGTCTACGAAGGCGTGACGAAACGGGTGCGCGGCAATCCCGGCAATCACAGCGGAAGCTATCGCTAGCGGGGAGTTGGATGATGATGTTGCAGGATGCATCGAAGAAAAGTCATCATGGCTCAATGAAGGTGCGACACGAAATCTACACCGCATGTCGCGCGAGGTACTGATCGCCAATACAGCACAAGCTAGTGGTGTGTAGCAAGTCGACCCATGTACAGAGGCTTCATGTGCAGATGCTGCCTCCTACCTGGAGGCCTTGGACTTGGGCAGGGCACAGACTTACGCAGCCAGTCAAGATTGGTGTGATGCGTTCGATTCGATCATATCTCGATTCGAATCATGCAAGAGCTTGGGCCTTGCTGCATCATGCTCAGCGCATGTCTGGGGCTCAGTGGAAGATTGGAAATGCGCGCGTGCCCAACCATCATTCTGATGGTGTTCAAACCTCATCCAGAAAGCCCGCATACTGACTGAAGCCATCGTATGCAAGGGCAATGATGAGTTGAAGCTACGGTCGGTACCTGCCTCAACTCAAAGGGTCGGCAGTGTCCTATCTAGCCCCGGGCCGAACGGTGAAGCGGGTGTTGTGTCGAACAATGAACGCCCAATCAGTGAAATTCTCTGTAGTAATCTGTAAGGCCAGTCTCGAGTGTGGGGTAGTGGGTCATCTGCCAGCAGGTAGCGCAGAAGCGCGGTCAGTTCGGATTGGGAAGGCGATATAGGTGAGCTGCCCATATTTTGGACGCTTTCGGACGTATTTTCAAAAGAAACTGTACGTCTACGGCAAAGTCGCTCTACATCAGGATGTGCTTGTTGTTGGGTTCTTTTTTGGGGGTGTGAAGGACCTGTTGGGTGTCATCGTTCTTACTTGATCTTTCGCGTCTATAATATGTCATTTTGGTGTTTTCAGGTCAGCAAATGTGTCTGGACAAAGCATTTCGTGGGTGTCCAGAAGTAGACGTGATCCTTTGTTCTTCCTACGGTGTATCATGGTGTGGCCCAGAGGCGCTCTTGGCCCATCTCTCGCCAGACTGATCCTATCTACGTGCTTTCTTACCATTTTCGCGGCCCATGTTCACCCAAGACTTCCACAACGAGCTCCACGTATAGGTATGCGACTACAGCGCCAGTGACGTCGCCGTTGGAATAGATACCCTGTCATTCTCTACTACAAATGCATCCTACTCCTACAACAACTGTGCGAGGCCCTACTTTCGTACGAGACTACTCTGCGTGCATGAGTGAGCCCTCAGACTAGGCGGTTAATGCGGGTGAATTGCAGATTCTAATCTGAGAAGGGCTGCTGCGCCGGGTTGTGGCTTGCTGTGCCGCACTCTCGTTGGCTCCTCTAAGCGCTGCGGCGCGCGGAAAACTGAGAGGGCTTCCCATACGTCGATTCGAGCGGCGCACGAACCGCAATGACAGACCAGTGTCTTTTCTTTCACCGTGATTATGCTGGTCGATCCAATGATGTTGTTCCAGTGGGCATGCATTCCCAATCTCAACGCATTC